TAAGCGTGATTTACACAAAATCAGAGAAGCTCTTTGAAACGCATCTCACATAGCAGACGTAGAGATGTATTCACACAAAAGGTAATCTAGTTAACATATGTAAATAGGTTTATTTGCTTTAAATAAAAATATTAAAATGATGTCATGCCATTTATACATGAAAAGATGTATAAATGCTATTTTAATGTGGTTAAAATGAAACTTCCAAGTGGAACTGTAATTTGATAAATCAACTCAGCAATGTGTATTAAATGCCATAAATTAACCATGTCCTTTGACTTAGTAACCTCAGATCTTAGCATTTTTCCATAAGCAATATTTCACAAGAATAAAACTGCTACATACAGAAATATAACCAGCCTATGAAAAGTTACAATCTGAAGATCCAGCGATGGAATGAAAAAGCAGAAAATTACCAAGTAAAAACTCAATGGGGTATTTTTAGTCATTAAAGATAATATCAGACTGCATAAATATGAAAATGTTTACAGCATAATAAACAGAAATCAAAATAGTATATGCATTGTAATTATTGTTATGTAAATGTATATATGTGCAGAAGAAACCAGAGGAAAATACTCCCAACTGATATTATTGATTGCATTAAAGCAATTTTAATATACTTCAGAGACACAGGTCTTATCTTTTAAATATGCAAGTATAAATGATTTTACTGAATACAAGTAGGTCTAGACAAACTATATGGGACCAGGATTAAAGCACAAGTGTTGAAAGTAGCCTTCACAAGGTGTGATACTCAACCTCAAATGCAGGAATAAGAAGAGAGGAGTTGGAGATACTTTGATATACAGACTAACAAACAAAAACAGAAGGAGCTTGTGTCAGACAGCCTCAGTCTTCTCATAAACACCGAAGTGGCTATAATTAAGAGTGATGGGCCGGGCGCAGTGGCTCACGTCTGTAATTCTAGCTCTCTGGAAGGCCGAGGCCGGTGGATCTTATGAGCTCAGGAGTTCGAGACCAGCCTGAGCAAGAGCGAGACCCCATCTCTACTAAAAAAATAGAAAGTAGCTGGATAACTAAAAATACATTTATATAAAAAATTAGCTGAGCATGGTGGCACATGCCTGTAGTCCCAGCTACTTGGGAGGCTGAGGCAGGAGGATCGCTTGAACCCAGGGGTTTGAGGTTGCTGTGAGCTAGGCTGACGCCACGGCACTCACTCTAGCCCGGGAAACAAAGCGAGATTCTGTCTCAAAAAAAGAAAAAAGAGTGATGGAGACAAGCTTGGGTTGATGATCAAGTGGTGGAAAAACCCAGAACACCTTCCATGTGAAGAAATCTCATCAAGCCTAGGGTATCACGCAAAGGCTGACAATGCACCCGATCAGCAAATAAAGCTCATATTTAACAGAAAAAAATAAAATAAATAATCACTAAAGAAATGGTGGCATCCAGAAACACGTATCAGCAATGTTTTCTCTAAGATTACTGCAATCTGCTCTAAGAAAATTCTATTCACGGAAAATCACATGCTTACATGATAATTACCTAGGCAGAGGGTGGTTTAATGACTTCCACAAGGCTCAGGTGCTTTTAATTTAGAGGTCATTCATTCATTTAAGTAATGATGCCATGTTATTTCTCAAACAGATTTATACAGAAACGCTGGAAATTCTAAGTTCTATCTTCAATGACTCTTGATTAGTCATGGAGCATAATCATGATCACAACTAATCAGATGTTGAAGTCTTATTTGAAATCACATGAAAGAGTTGATTAAGTTAATCCTCTTATTTGGGGGGGTGTGTTTTACAGCAGAGGTCCTGACCCTTTTTGGCACCAGGAACCGGTTTCATGGAAACTTCTTTCCACAGACCTAGGGGGGAGGGGCGGGAGGGATGGTTTTAGGATGACCCAAGTGCATTACATTTATTGTGCACTTTATTCCTATTATTATTACACTGTTAACCTCTCTGCTACTGATAATCTGCATTTGTAGCCATTCCCCATCACCGCCTCGGCTCCACCTCAGATCATCAGGCATTAGATTCTCATAAGGAGCGCACAGCCTAGATCCCTCACATGCACAGTTTATAATCGGGTTTGTGCTCCTATGAGAATCTAATGCCACCGCTGATCTGACAGGAGGCGGAGCTCAGGCGGTGATGTGAGCCACGGGAGCGGCCGTAAATACAGATGAAGCTTCACTCACTCACCCACTGCTCACCTCCTACTGTGTGGACTCTTTCTTAACAGGCCAAGGACTGGTACCAACCCGCAGCCCAGGGGTTGGGAACCGCAGTTTTACAGTGTTCCTTCTTATTTTTTTAGAGATTATGCATTTAAAAGAGTGGGAGCAACAAAGCATCCCACTCTAGATCTTAGGCAGCTAGAAGGTTCTTAAGCTGCATTGTAAGAACAGACACCAATTAAGAAAGTTCTACCATTCTATCCTTCAGGAAAAAAATTGTTAAGCAAAAAAAGAGTTAAACTGAAAAGAAGAAAGAATAAACAGATAATACAAATAAATACAAAGGATTTGAATAGCAGGGAGAAAATTACTTGTGTAAAATTACCTAAAAATTCCATAAAGAAATAATGTTCGATTACATATAAACTTTTTTCCTTCTGTGTAAAATCAAGAATTGCTCTCACAGTTCAAATCTGTAGTAAAACACATTTTGAAGAGAAAAAAGTCTATTTTACTCAACTTCTTGTTAAGCTGAATGAGGTCCCAAGTCCACTGTTAATATTTATAAGAATTCAGACATACATCTTACAACCTAAACTTTTGAACATTACTATTACGAAGCAACATAACCTCAACCAAATAAAACTGGGCTCTACATGAAAAATTTTAAATTAATTTCTGACATTGAGAAGGAGAAACACTAAAAAGAAAACAGAAAAGCAAGAAACAGAGAAAGAGAGTGAGCGAGTTTATAAATGTTTTCAGGCTACTGTTTTTCAGTGTTTCCATCTTCCAGTAGAAAAATCAAACCCTAACAAATGGAACAAAATCCCCTGGACCCTCATCCCATGCTACTCCACACGTCTACCAACCTGACCCGTCTTCCCACTCCTCCCTCCCTGCTGACCAAATCCTTCCACTGTGCCCTGGAACTCACTATCATCAACAAACACTTTTACACTGAAAGGAATAGTTTTTGGTTTTTTTTTTAATCTTTTGCCCCAACTGAAACCTTTCTGCCCTCCTGATAATACTGCTTACTACAGCACAACTGATTATCACATAATGTAAAATTAATCTGTGAAATGTACGGTCACAGGTATTAATTAAATAATTCAGATATTTCTTAAATGCAGTAACAGATATTTTATAAATGTGAATAAAAGACTGGCTATCCCAGGAAAAATGAGTATTTTAAAAGCTGACATCCTATGACAGTCTGCCCCTTCACTTTACTAACAACCAAAGAAAAGTAAAAACAAGAAGACAGCTGAATTAGTGATGAAACTAGGCAATCATGGCTGCTACATGCCATAAATTCCAAGACAGTTTTTCTGGACATGATACCAATGAAGCCAAATTAAAAAGAGTCACTAAGAGCTTAGTTAAAATTCCTCGTTCCCAAGAAAATGATACTGTTGCATAAAGTAAATAAAAATTATTCTGGGGAAAACAATGACATAAGATCCCATTTAATATGGTTAAGAGTTGACTGTGAACTCCTGCTGTCTTCAACAGCGCCCTGTATTTAGAAACAGCCTGAATGAAAATCCAGGGAAACTTCATGATTCACTAACAGAACTGAGCATTTTTTTTAAAACTTGGCATGCAAAAACACTAAATAGAATGTATGTAGTTGCACCGTTTACCAGACCAAGTTAAAATGAAGACAAGACAATGAAATCTGGAATTTGTTTCAATCAAACTGGATAAAAATCACAGCGATCCACTCCCTCTGTGGGAATGTCCGCAACTCCGGAGAGTCCAGAGAGTCCCTCAGTCACTTCAGATTGCGCTGGCCACTGAACCTCAAGATGTAGCCTCTCAACACACTGTCTAGCAGGGGCATTCTAAGGATATTTGCACAAAAAGTAAACAGAGATAAGGAAAATCTAACTATGAATAGCACACTTATCATTCAAGGAAAAACACAAATTTTAAAAAGAAATCAACAAATGGCCCCTCCACATATATAACAAAATTTTAAAAAGAAGAAAAAAGCCTACTAAAAATATCCAAAATGTCAGTATTATACTAGTATACACAGGATAAAAGCTAATTTTGGATGTCGTGGGAGGAAGAATATATGCAAAATAAATTTTAGGAAAGCATCTGCCTTGCACTTTCAAGAAAATTAAAGAAAAATTAACGAATAAGATATTATCAATGAGATCATAACACAGATTGAAATGAAGAAAAAGCACCCAAAATACACAAGTAATTTTAATTAGAAAGAGCCATTTTGAATTTAAGTAGAATTAGAAAGTACAGAAGAGAATTATGCTGCGGAAGTTCAAGCTAAAGAACGATGCAGAGAATAAATCTGAGTGGTTCTAGAAGGTGCAGCAAAAGAACAGGAAAAGATGGAAGACACGGTAGCCAGTAATCTTGAAAGGAAAAAATAAACGGGAAAGAACCTACGCCCCAAGAAACAAGTAGAATATAGGGAGCTTCAGCCCTTCAATCCCCACACAAACATTTCCCAGCTCTGGCCCGGACTGCAATGACCACAGGGGCTGGTGGGTCCAGGAGGATCTGTGTGACCCCAGAGCTTGGACATTCCGGGTGGGCTGTCTTCCAGGTAGAGAACAATGATGACCAAAGTGCCAGCTCTCCTTCGATCAGACTCTTTTCCTCCCGCTCCACTCCCCCGCCCACGGCTGCCTCCAATTTGCAACCGCTCTACTGACTTTATTCCATATTAATGAGTGATACTTTGGAGAGGGAAATCAGTGTTTGCCATTATTTTTCTAATACGTTAACATGTTAGAGTACTGAGAAAATGTACAAAAATATTTCTCATTTCCAATACTATGGTAGTAAACATTATATTCACATTACTTACCCTGCTGACTTCCTTAGGAGCTGATTCATCTGGGGGATGAAGAAGGAAGGGGAAAAAACACAATTAGAAACTCCAAGAAGATTCTGAAATACAAAGCATGTCATTCACCCTCAATAAACTCAAAGGCTCTTTGCAATGCTTCCTCTTACAAAATGTACGAATTTGATTTTAAAAAACTGTAAAGGTTAAACATAAATTTAGAGTTAGAAGTATACATTCATTTCAGAGGGAAAATGAATACCACCACCACAATCCTTTGCCCGATTACATCTTTTAGAGGTTCTAAAATGAACGTGCCTGCAAATACAGCTACACCTGTATCTAAACATGGGGTTTACAACACTTGCAGTCGTCTACACGATACAACCCACATGAACATCCCAAACGACCGTTAACACTTGCAACAGGGTTAATTCCATCAGACCTGGAGCTGGCCTGAGCCGTTTTGCTGAAATAAGAAATGCACCTGTATGGCACCCTGGTCAAGGAGTGAAACGTACCCAGTAACAGTGCTGCGTATCCCAGCTTTGTCAGCATTGTTCATTGGTAAAGTTAGACTAATGGTTTGCACTAGGTCTAGCTACAGGCAAGAAAATGCCTGTGTGACCAACAGGGTGTAAGAAACAAGCCAGCAGAGACCCCCTTTGGGTGGGCTGGCTCTGAATGTCATTGGTGTGGCCCTGATACACGAAGGGTTACTGGAACTCAGGCTGGCCTCTCCAGACTCCTTGCTGGAGGCATCCTTTAATTTAATGCTGTGGCATCATCATGTCTGTTCCCTGCAATAAAGTTTAGACTCGCAAGCATCGTCATTTGGGCTTTTATGTCTTTTTTCGTAATCAAACCTATCTGTCACCATCAGTGCACATTTAACATGACAAAAATTGAACATACTCTGTGTCACTCCAGAACACAGCCTAGCTTATCTAGATACCATGAAAAATATGCCCACATCTCCGTCCCACAAGTTCAGGCAAAGCAGTTATTCTCCTTTCTCCGTTAATATCCATGTTAACTAAATTACTGAGTCCCGATGTTTCCTTTTTTCTATAATCTTTCTCAGACTTACTGCTCACTACCAATTTCCTCACATGACAACCAGTCAAGTTCCAAGTCACATATCAACCAACAACTTCCAAGCTGGTCCCTGAATCCAGTCTGTACCCATTATGTGCAATCACACCTATGCCTAGACACACACACACACACACACACACACACACACACACACACACACCCCTCTTCTACTCTCTCTCTCTCTCTCTCTCTGAATCACTCACCCAGTTTGTCTCTCAAAAATATTCCATCTACTATGGCCCTCAAATACTTCAGAACCTAAAGTAAACTAGATTTCAACACAGGGCAAACACTGACTTTACTTGAGGACCTTTTAAAAAACACCAAGGTCAGTGCTATTAGACAGTAGGTGTTCAAAAAACACTGTCTATTGGTTGTAATACTGTATTATTACACACTTGCTTATAGATTTTATAATTGATGCACAATGGTTAGAGTATTTCATTGGCCTTCCCAAAGAATGTAACGATGTCATAGGAAAAACATTTTATCTTCTACAATGAAGTCTGATAATAAAAAAACTTCAACTCCTAATGCTTTATCCTCTCCTAGACCTCTCCAAGATGAGATTATTTAATCATTACAACAAATTTATTAACCGATTATAAAGTTGTAGAGGCATATATGCTTTTTAAAGTATTTTTATCTAAGAAATTCAATGAGCATGTTTGAAAAAGTCTAACTGAATTAAAAAGCATATAATGAAAGGCAGTAGTGTGTGAATAGGTTTAATACTAAGACTGCATGGAGTTTATCAAGCTATGGCACTTTGGAATTTTCCACCCTCCACTAATCACCACTACAGATTTGAAAGATAGTTCAATGGAAGAACAGTTTGAATGTCCAGACATCTACAGATAAATGTTCCTTTGGCTTTTTCCATTAGTCTTGCTTAGTTAGTACTTCTCAAACTTGTGTGTGCATAAGATACACTACTTGTATGTATTTATAAAACCAACTATTGCTTGTTTTATAGGCAATTTATAGTATTTGAAAGAAAAATTTTACCTGTTGTCGATTTATGACTTTTCCCCTTACAAACTAATTTAGAAATCTATCCTCTATATATTCCTCCAACTTAGCAGTCAAACAGTTTTTGTCAAATGAATGTCAAGTCACTAGCTGCATTACTTTGGGCAAGACGCCTGACGTCTTTTGCTACCTTACAAGTGTGAAGCGAAATAACAATACAAATGGTTACTGGAAAAGATTCCCGCCCCCATTTGAAAATGAAAGACCATTTTCAAAGTAATACAGAGGAAATGTCACCACCTGTCACTCATGCAATTCATGACTTCTCGCAGATCACATATGATTTCAGGTTAAGAACCCATGGCTTAGAATGTCACCTTCCCTGTACACGTCCAGCGTGCCCTCCTGATTGAACTGCCGGAATGGCATTTCGCACAGTTCAGCAACGAAGCTCTCTTTGAAACGAAAGGGTAGGGGAACGAGGAAAAGAACAAAACACAAATCTGCATACCAGATTTCGAATCATTGATGAGCTTCAAACTAGCAACAAAAAGGTTCCCAAGAGAAGACACTAATTTTTATGCAGCCTAGGAGTTCTGTAAACATTTGTTTATTCAACAAATATTTACTGAGGAACCACCGTGTGTCAGGTACTTATCCCTGTTCCCAAGGAGCTGGCAATCTATTGGGATGAATAAACAAGGAAACAAATAAAATAATTTCAGAAAAAGTATGTCTATGCTTGTTAAAGAGAAATTTAAAAAAAAAA